AAAACGGAGCGCGAGGTTTATTCTTTCTGCAGAAAGGAGTTGCTGCCTGCGTGAAGCCAGAGCAAGCACAGCACAGCACACTGGATTCTTAAAGAGACAGTACATATATTTATACATGTTTCGTGCGTCACAATAACATTCTATCATGAAGGGAGGATAACGTTCCTCAGGTTGATACCATACACAAGTTCTTGTTATCAGTACGAGATGATGTTATTCTTCTTGTGGAGCCGTGTTCTGTAACAAGTCTTCTGTCCATGTGACTAGAACATTCTGATAAACATTTGTGGAGCTGGTATTTTTTAATTAGATTTGTAACAAGTCTTTGTTCATGAGCTAGAACATTCTGATAAACATTTGTGGAACTGGTATTTTTTAATTAGATTTGTAACAGTCTTTTGTTCATGTGGCTAGAATCTCTGAAAAAGAAAAACATATTGATACGAAAAGCGTCCTCAGCCGTTTAGATAAAAGTTCTGTATCTTTGCCTCTCTGCAGGTGGTGAAATACAAGGACGTTTGCTGAGCAGAGGACAAAAGTTCACATTTACAAGAGTTTACCAGAGTTCACATACACACCAACTTTGAAAGTCTGCAGAATGAGCATGGATTAAATGATATTTAAACAATACATGTTAGTTTATTAATTTTTTTCACAGTGGCACACTGTGAAAGTTACAAAAAAAATACCTTGGAACATAAACAGCAGCATCCAATGACATCATAATACATTTATGCATGAGGAGGTCAACAAAGGCAGTGAGTTGTCCATGGACACTGACAAAAAGTTCCATAGTTCTGATAAGATGGTACAGTGGCTATCAGGGGCTCAGTTCTAATAAGGCCCACAGATGTCCTTGGGAGAGGTGAGGGAGGAGGGAAGGAGCAGCAGAGCATCATTATTCACAAAACCTGTGGGAGAAATTTGAGATAGCTGGCCTATTCAAATATTCACGTCAGCAAGTTCCAGAAGCTGCAAGTGGCCTGCGATTCTCAGAAATCACGTCCAGCTTACAGCTTAGCTCACAAAGCATCTGAGTCTGGGTGCTCGAAGCACAACACATTCTTTCATGCATAACAGACTGCTTCAAAATAGCCAGATCTGCTGCTGACGTCTTCCAAATTTGTCAATAAGCCAGAAACCCGCCGATTCCAAAAAGCAGAAATCCTGCTATCAGAAATCTAATCATGTATGTGTCTTCTACATCTTCAATGGACAATATGGATAGACACACCATCTTCCACTGGCCCCAGGAATCCATGGTATCTTGAAGCAAATGTCCCTTCAGGGCATGAGGGCTCTCCTTCAACCTGTCTTCTTGTCAAGAAAATTTTATCAGTTGTGTTGAGAGACCAGCTGACCAGATCCATGATTTACAATTCAGAAGATATGCTCTGAAAAAGGTTCACAGGACAAGAGAGCAAAAAGCAGGAGGGAGGCAGGAGTGGGTGAAGTGACCGTCTTCGTCGAGAGCAAGCAGGAAGCAAGAAGTCACATGGGATTTCCAACTATTTTACTGTCTAGAATGACTCCTAAAAATTTAATTTCATATACTCTTTCAATATTTACATAATCTTTTACGAGTTGTACTTAAATGTCAGTTTCTGGATTGCCATATATCATGAATCTAGTTTTATTCAAATACAATTATAATTTGTTGTCATCAAACCATATTTTTACTTTATTTAATTATATTTTAACCACATCCACTAGATTTTTTAAATTATGTCCAGAACAAAGTATGTTAGTATCATCTGCAAACAGAACCCATTTCAGAAGTCCAGATACTTTACAAACATAATTTAAATACATAAACAATTTTGGTCCAAACACTGACACCTGTGGCACACCACAAACGATGTCTAAACATTTTTATTTCTAATCACTCAATTGCACAAACTGTTGCCTATTACTAATGTAGCTCCTTAACCAATTCTATCCCACCCCTCAAATTCCATTCCTTTCCATTTTACTGAGCAGTATATTAGGATTTATACTATCAAAATATTTCTTTAAATTGATAAATAATCCTACATACTTTTGCCCATATATACAACTAGTTATTTCTTCAATTAAGTCTATAAATGCTATAGTTGTTGACTGGTTTTCTCTAAATTCATATTAGCTCTCAAACAACAGTTGATGTTTCTCAATAAAATTATCCATCCTGTCCACATAACATTTTCCAGGATCTTAGACAATTGTGAAAGTAGTGACACTGGTCTATAATTAGTAAACTGTTTATCCCCCAATTTGTACACAAGGATATCCTTTGCAATATTTATTTTATTTGGAAACATACTTGTTTTGAATGACAAATTAAAAATGTAAGTTAATGGTTTTACAACACCTTCAATAACTCCCTTTAGAAGTTTTGTTCTTACATCTGTTAATAATACTTACCTTTTCTTCAACTGCACTCATACAATACGAACATACATTTCTATATATTCTTTCTATCTTGAACTTCCTCCCCCACTTCTGAATGAGTATCAGTAATTTTATCTGCCAATTTTGGTTCCACATGGACAGAAAAGTTGTTAAACTCACTAATCACCTCATTCATGTTATTTATAGTCTTATCAGCATTGATGAAATATTCAGGATAATTATTAGTTCCAGTTCCTTTTCTGATAACATTATTTAGTTTATCCCATATACATGTTCACCTTTTAACCACAGCGAAATAAGTTGCACGAAAACTTGCAAATATTTTTACACTGGATGGCCTTACTGATGCAACCACAGACCACCGAGCTACCACAGCCCTCTGTGTGGAGCAGAGAGCTGCTATCTAGGACGTCTGGGGGAACGGGTGGTGGGCGTTGAGCACCTTACTCAAGGGCCCAGAGTGGGGCAAATGAAGGTGGAGGCAGGTGTAGGTACTTCACCTATCCCACCCACATTTTGATGTTGTCAGTACTGGGATTTGAACTGGCAATCTTCTGATCACAGGCCCATCTTCTCTAACCTCTGTGCCACAACTCCCCTTTGTCTTAAATTGTTAAAATATCAATAATTGTTAAAAAATCATTAGACATTTTTAGCTTTATAATGTCATCACTACTGGCCACAAAAGTCTCCTCCAACAAACCTAAAGTGCCCCACAGGCCACCAGTTGATAATTACAGTTGTAGCAGGTCGTTGCAGCTCTGGACATGTTTAATTTAGTGAATAAAGGTTTAAAAAAAGGCTTTTTTGATCATAAAGGTTGCAGACCCCTGCACCTAAGGGATCCTTCTGTTTTCATTATTTTTGTTACTTTTATTTTTTTTAGCACAATAGCTGTAAAACTGACTGAAACTGTCTCTTTTTTGTGTTTTCTAATGTCATTTGTCCTTTTTTTTTTTTTTACCTAAGTCAAATAACATTTTTGCTTAGTGCTTTTGTTTTTAGACAGAGACAGAAAAAAGAAAAAGAAAAAACGGTAAAATAATTTAAAGCTGAGAAACAGCTTTTTGTGCCTTTAAAAGGATCAATCTGGCATGTGCGCTGACTCCTTCTTCATCAGCCGAAGAACTTCAGGCCTGCCTCAGCTCCACCACAGTATTCCTCCTAGACCAACAGATGATCTCAACTGACCCTTAGTTGACTCCAGGGCCCAAGACACCCCATCCAACGTGCTGACCAGGTACACCTCTGCTCCTGAGAAGACACAACTCATTCCAAGTTGTACCATTAAAGATTAAAGGCATTCCGACTCCTACACCTGGATGGTCAGATCACAATTTGACCTAATTATTAAATTTTAAGCTGATGCAAACTGAAAACATCTTTCCCCAAACCACAATGTTAATAAATAACTTAATAATCTGGCCAGATTAACAATCTTCCATCCAAATTCCAAAAGTAAACCACTTATCATAATAGTTAAGTTAACCTGAGTTCCTGTGCAAGTAGAACTAAAACTGTACAAAAACTTTAAAGGATAAATCCAGCCTCCTGCTCATTGGTAGCTGTGGTAGAGTTCATTGTAACTAACCCAGTTCCACCTCAGAGGATGACTTCTGGTCAGTAAAGGGTGAACAAATTAATCATCACCAATTGATTGGTAAACTGACCTGGTATCCCTATCATTTTTGCAAAAGTTAAATATAGTGAAAGAAAAACAAGCAACACATTTTTTCCTCTCACTTTTTTGTGGGGTCATGAGTTTTTTGCTTTATGAAATTTACTATAAAATTCTTCCTGTGTTGCATGAGATATTTTGCTCACAGACATGCAAAATTTACCATATGAGTTAAAGGGGGGAAAAAAAGGGATCTCATATAACTTGTTAGTGTTCAGAGTACATGTTAGCGAAGACTCTCAGCTACTACCACACCTAATTTTAGGTCAATTCTCAAAAAACTACTGTGACATTTGGCCATTTTGGTGTTTGTTAAGGCTGCTTAGCTGTAACGAATGTCTAGCATGACATTCTTGAAAAGATAATTATTTTATATGCATGGATTACTTTTTGGGAGTTTCATTAAGTCTGTTTCACTGGTTACTGAGATATTTTGCTAATAGGGCAGAAAAACATGATGAAAAACATCAGTGCCTTCAGCAGCAAGTAGTAATAGGCGCATAGAAAGAACTGAATTTAAAGAAGAATGACGTCATGTTTTACATAATTGTTCATTTGTTTAAAATCAAACATAAATTAAAAAAAAGTATATTTTCCTTAAATTAAGCATACTTTGGCTAAAATCAAGTCTTTACTTATTTGGAAGATTTTAGAAAAACACAATCCTCTTAAACTGTATGGTTTTATTCAGCATCTAGTATTGTGTGTTATTTCATCTCTACTTTTAAATGCCCCTCAGAAGTGCATCATTTTAATTATCCACAAGTGTTTATACCAATCCTTCCGGTCTGATCGCCAAAGAAGAGTAAATACGTGACAAATTACAATTACCACAGCGTGGTCATATTGTCGTCAAGAAGCAGTACCGGACCTTCTCCAGTAGATGGCGGGATTCCCTGCTGTCAGTTCCCTGGCGCTGCTCATTCACAGTTTCGTAGAAGAAGAAAACGGAGGGCCTTCAGAATTTGAATGTCGCAGCGTAGATTTGTTATGTTAGTGTTTTTTATATAACTTTGACTAACAGCTCCAACAAAATGGGAATAGAAGACGAAGCGGACCGCACTCTCTTCATTAGAAACATAGACACAAGGGTGACGGAGGAGCTGCTGTTCGAGCTGTTTTTACAGGTGCTGTTCAAACGGAAACTGATGTTAGCCACAGGCTAATGCTAACGCTTAAAAACTGTTTTCAGGGGCTGTTGTTACGTGTGCTGTTCAAATGGGAGCTAATGTTAAGTACAGGCTAATGCAAACGCTTAAAAACGTCAGGAGCTGTTGTTTGAACTGTTTTTGCGGATGCTGTTCAAACGGAGGCTAGCTAATGTTAGCCACGGGCTAATGCTAATGCTAAACTGTTTCTGCTAAACTAGTTTTGGTTTTTTTTAAAAGCCGGAAGTGGCTGTGACTGATGTTTTCTTGATTTAAACTGTCTTCTAACATTTGTAGGAAACATGCCGCCGAGCGTGAAGCTGACCAGATGTTACTCCAGTGATTTGTAAAACGATTGATTTGTTTGCAGGCAGGACCTCTCGTCAGAACCAAAATCCCCAAAGACACTGAGGGGAAGCAGAAAAGTTTCGGATTTGCAGTTTATAAACACGAAGTGTCGGTGCCTTATGCCATGCAGCTGCTGAATGGGACTTGTCTATTTGGGAGAAACCTCCAGGTGCAGTTCAGAACAGGTGAGCATCAAGATGTAAAATAAATAATAAACAAGAATTGTTCATCTCACAAGGTTGACCCGTTTAACCCATCCAGAGGACCTGACTCAGCCTTCTTAGATTTATCTGGATTATTGAGCTTTCATCAGGACACAAGATCAGTTGTTCACACTGAGGAAACTTGTTGACTTTATACTGCCTGTAAATAATTATTTCTTATATTCTAATGTTGAATAAGAGGCAATGTGTGTTAGAACACAGAATCATTTAACAACGCATTACTCATAGGTCTTCAAATGTACATGTGGTTTAAAAAATGCACTCATTCAACATTAAAGAATAATAAGTGTTTGTTAAAAATACATCTAACATGTAGTTATGTAAATTGATAGATGAGGTCTGCTTGATAAACTGTGGCTTAGATGTCCATATCCCTGTTATAATTTTCTGAATCAAAACATCTTTACCTTGGCTTTGTGTTTCTACTTAAATTATATTTTCAGTATCATGCTGCCACACGTTGCTGCAGAGGTCAGCAAATAAAAGTATATTACTATTACTGGCTTCCTCACTTAACAGAGTTAGCCACTATAAACAATCAAATGAAAGATGTCTCAGTAATTTAGTCAAAAGGTAAAATCCTGGCAATGTTGTGGCAAAGATGATTTAAACAACGTCAAAATGTTGTGATAGTGTCACAAGAAAGGCAGAAAAATAAATGAAAGATAAAACAATTACACGTGACATCAGGATTCATACTAAATTAATACTCTTCTTTATGAATAATAACTTTTAGAGACACTTGTGCTATCACTTTGCAGTATGGGAGGACTGGGTGTGGTGATTTACATCCTCATTAAACATTTGTAGTGACATGTGACCTGCACAACCTGCTTTGTTTTGTTACTTATCTTAAACTGTGCATCTCCAGCTTTCTGTAGCTGCTTCTTTTGGGAAAACGGCCATGTTCAAAGTGGAACTTAAAATGTTGCGGATAAATCGTATATTTATAACTACATTTAAAAGACATTTCTAGTTAAATGTAACCTTGTATTTTTAATTAAATTCAAAAATACTTTATTAATCCCAAAGGGAAATTATTTTTTGTTGTAACTCGTTATCCTCGTTTCATTAAGAGATGTTATAGATGCTGATGGCTGTAGACAGGAAGGACCTCTTGTAAAGGTCCATCCCACAATGGATCCTAAGAAACTGGCTGCAGGCAGTGCTTACTTTTAGACTTGGTGTAAAAAAGGAAAAATGCAATAAAACATTACTATCCTAACATAAGCGTTAAGTACTTCTTTTGAACAATAATTTTTTGGATGTGTATTTTAGAAGACACATTTTTTGTTTGAGGGAATAAGGCACATAACAAACATTAACAAACTCCTTGTTTTACTCCATCATAGGTAGCAGTCATAGCAGCAGTCCAGGAAACTCACAGAATTCAAGCCCTCCAAATAACCCCAACCCCCACGGTCACAGGTGAGAGGAGCTCAGAAACACACAGGAGCCTTTACAAGCATCAATGGAGTTACAGAAGAGCGTAGTGTTTAGACCTCTCCAGCATCAACCATACACTCACTTTGATTTGTTTAGTGAAGGATCATATTTATGTAGTCCAGGGGTGTCAAACTCACTTACAAAAGGGGGCCAAAATTTAAAACTTGGTTCAAACTAAGAGCCATTTTCAGAAATTGCATTAACTCAAGTCAGAAACCCAACGTCTTCTCTTGGTCACATGTTCCTCAACAAGAGTTTGATTGGTCTCATTTGACGTTCCCTGTTGTGCTTTCCACATCATAATCAAAGATTACTGGGGAAAAAACTCGAGTGATAAAAGCATTTTATGCTTAATACATCATCTTTGGGGGCCAGAGAAAATGTTAAGGAGGGCCACATTTGGCCCCTGGGCCTTGAGTTTGGCGTACACTGCCTGGCTAAAAAAACAGTTTATAAAATATATATAAAACCACGCTTTCCACAGAACAACTGTGTCAACTCTTGAAACTGTGCCTGCAGTCAACCTACTTTACACATGGGGAGCAATATTATAGGCAGAAACATGGGTGTGCTATGGGGTCTCCAGTTTCTCTTATTGTTGCCAACCTGTACATGGAAGAGGTAGAAAAGAGAGCCTTGACGTCCTTTTCAGGGACACCACCAAGTCATTGGTTCAGGTATGTTGACGACACCTGGGTTAAAATTAAATCTCAGGAAGTCCAACATTTTACTGACCACATCAACTCTGTGGATAAATACATCAAGTTCACACAAGATGATGTAAAAAATGGCAGGTTGGCTTTCTTAAGACTGTGAGGTCTCAGTCTCTGATAGAGGACATTTGCAAACTGAGGTGTACCGCAAACCCACCCACACAGACCAGTATTTGCAGTTTGACTCCCATCACCCTTTGGAGCACAAGTTAGGAGTCATCAGGACTCTGTACCACAGAGCAGACAGCATCCCCACAGCAATGTGGATATCTTAACTGGGCCTTCCTGAAAGCAGAGAAGAAACCCAAACAGGACTCCAGTCAGCCATCAGATGAAAAGGAGGAACCCAGACCAGTGGTCATTCCATATGTTGAGGGAGTATCAGAGAAACTGAGACGTTTATTTTCTAAACATAACGTCCCAGTGGCTTTTAAACCCCAAAATACATTACGGCAAAGACTGGTTCATCCCAAAGATCCAGTCCCCCGGCACAAACAGAGTAATGTTGTGTATGCTGTTCAGTGTCAGGAGGGCTGTGATCAGTCTTACATCGGGGAAACTAAACAGCCACTGGCCAAAAGGATGGCCCAGCACAGAAGATCAACATCATCAGGCCAGGACTCTGCGGTCTACACTCATCTCCAGGCCAGCGGTCACTCTTTCAGGGATGAAGATGTTCACATCCTGGACAGAGAGGAACGATGGTTTGAGAGAGGAGTAAAGGAGGCCATCTTTGTGAAAAGAAATCGTCCATCATTAAACAGGGGTGGAGGCCTCCGGGTTCAACTGTCCCCCTCTTACAATGCTGTGATTGCTAGTATCACTCAGCCCTCTGTGAATAGTAAACAGCCATCAGGGTGCTAATGATCCATTGTTAGGATGATGGTCCTTCTTGAGCATGTGATCAGCTGGTTCTGGTTGTCAGCAGCAAAACTGGTTGATCCACTAAGAGAAGGTGCTATTTAAGAGACTGAGCTGAATACAGCACCTCAGACTGAAGAAGTCTTTCGGGTGAAAGACGAAACGTTTCTACATTTTTTTTGCTTTGTTTTTTTTGTTTTTTTGAATGTCCTGAGGACCAGATTGAAATATTTTGGACTAGTTAGTTAGTTTAGCTATAGTACAAAACAGAAACCTGGGGTTATTTTATTCCCATCTATTAATTAAAGATGAATAATATACAGTAGAGTTGTGAATCTCTGTGTCTAGCGTTTCGATTCTGATTTTTGGTGTCAAGATTCGATTCAAAAATCGATCCCCCCCCCATTCTGAAACGATTTTCGATTCAGAAATGATTTTTCTACTGAAATGGTCATGAATTTTGTTTCAATTATGTAACTGACAAGCTGAAAAGATTAAACAGCTATGTAAACAAATAGAACATTTGATTAAAACAATAATTTTAGGTTCTTTACTGTATCAAATCTTTTTGCATCATTTTATATTTATACCAAAAATAGGAAAAAATATAGGAGTGCATAAAATTCTGTCATTTAAATTACCAGTATTGGCTTAGTTGGCTGATTTGTTCTAAATAAATAACAATAAAAATCTAGGAACAAATAATTCATCCATTCCTCATCTTTATCCACTTCTTCCTTTACGGGACACGGGGGTCACTGGTGCCCATGTCCAGTCATCACTGTGCGAGAGGCGGGGGACGCCTGGACAGGTCTCCAGTCCATCACAGACAAATAATTCAAAATATATAAATACAAAAGTAAACAGACTTCAGCCTACCTTAGTATATTAGTATATTAACCTTAAGCTCAAAATAAAATACAGACTTCAAAGTTATTTTTTAACTTTTGCTCTAACATTTGTTATATTTTCAAAACTTAACCTAATATGAAATATACAGACTTCAGTCTTAACCATATTGATTCATATTTAGTACATCTCTAATAAAATTTCAAAATCTATGCAAAACCTCTTCTGAACTGTAATTTATAAACCATAAACTGTATCATTTAGAACGGGCTCCAGGCGTTGTCTCATCTGTCCTCTTCAACCTGTTAAAAGACAAATTACATTAAGTTTGTTTTATAACTTGTCCATAAGTTTAAGTATAATATGAGAAAAATAGTTACCTTTGAGCTTCAGCTGCATCAGAGCTTCTCCCATTTTGTTGTTTCATGGTGAAGTTGTGGAGCTGCTTTATCGCAATAAATAAATAAATAAAAAGCTACATGAAGGAATTGCGTACGTTGGATCCAGCGTATTAAAAATAAACCTAAACCCCTCACCTTCCACTGAGCTGTTTGCTCGTAAATCCTTTGTGATACAGCAGAAGATGAAGATCTTCGCAGTCTTTGGGGAAGCCTGGAAGTTTGTTGTAGAGTTCACTGGTTGGCTGCTTTGCTTTCATCTTCCGCACATTTTGTCGTATTTCCAAAATACTGTACCGCAATTTTATTTTACACTTCTTGTAAATCGTGCTCTTGTTAAGCTCTGTCTTCCCAGTAACATTGTAGGATCTGCAATGATTTTTAAAAACGAAGGAGCGGCTTGAATCGTGCTGTCTCCCTCCTCAATGCCAGCTGGCTCCATTCAGATAAAGGGAGCTGCGAGCTGGCTAACTAGCATGCTGTATGGTGGCCTACATGGCCCAATTGTACGGCGGCCGAGCGGGGAGTAAGGGCAGAAAAAATATAAAACTTAAACGCATTTTTAAATCGATTTATGGGCCTTTAGAATCGATTCAGAATCACCAGGAATAAGAATCTAGATTCTTTAAAAAATCTATTTTTTTCTGCACCCCTAATATACAGTTCTAGCTTTACGGAGCGCTTTCTTGTAGCAGGCTAGCTCTCTAAGTTAAGTACAATTCTTCCATGTTAGTGTAGCACCATTTTCTTTCCAGCTTGCCTGTTTCAAAAGTATGTAACTTGAAATTGAACTAAGGAGCCAGCTTCTTCTGATTACTTTCTTTTTCAGTGGAACAGTTTTATCAAGTGAAGTTTGCAATGAAATTGTAAAATTATCAACAAGATAATTTAATTCACAGCTCCCTGTTGCAATACTTTGCAAGACAAAGGAAAACAACAATGGACGGGATTCTTTAAATTCAGTTACAGCTTTCTCTGATAAACAGCTGCAATAATGAAATTTACTCTCAGTGGTTGTGTAGTAAGTTAATGTCAACTCGACGGTTATTAAAAAAATGGTCCAACAGAATAGGATTTTGAGAATGTATTACTAAGTACTTACTCTGTGCCATAAGTCAGAACCAGATCAAGGGTATGATGATGAGAATGATTTGTTATGTGGACATTTTGGGTAAAACCAACAGACTATTAAATTATTAAAGTCTATGCTTAAGCTATCACTTTCAACATCTACATTAATATTGAATTCACCCATTATTCTGACTTCATCAGTATTTAATAATAAGTCACATAAGAAATCTGAGAATTCAGACAAAAACTGAGAATAAGGGCCTGGTGGACAAGTAAAAGTGGCTTTTCTGATTTCCATTGTGGATGAGAAAGACTTAAGAGACAGTTACTCAAAAGAATTTTAACTAATAATTAATTGGTTTAGCATTAATCAGTAATCCTGACTGAAAGATAGCAGCTACTCCTCCACCTTGACCTGTTGTTCTAGGAACATAAACATTTCAATAATTAGGTGGAGCAGATTCATTTATTTTAACTAAATCCTCCTTTTGTATCCAGGTTTCTGTCAACAGAATAAATCAATATGATGATCAGTTATCAGTTCATTAACAGGAAGGAGCTCTGATGGTCAATAATCCACTTTTTTTTAATCTTTTACTGGTTAAGTAACTATGTTTATTTTAATAAGATTCCTTTGATTTGTTTTTCTAGAGTTGATTTAAAATATATGACTTTAGGTGGTGGCACTGTTTCAGTAGGGGTGTGGGTGGGTAACAGAGGAGAAGCAACAGAGAGGTGTGTAAGACTACAACTCTGCTTCCTGGACTAGACCCTGGGTTGTCAATGCAGTGTTTCCCCTGCCATTCAAATAACTAAACAAATAAAATTAAGCTTAAGATCTGTTGAGCATAAATGTAACATACAACAAATATACGTTTCCTTTAAATGAGCTATAACTTCCAGAACTTGTAGCAAGGTGACCAGCTGACCCTGAAGCTTGTTGGTGTTTCAGCTTCCTCTGTTCCTGCAGGAATGATTCATTTCTCTGATGCTCTGTCTTTCATCACCTGACTCTGTTCTTGGTCCATGGACTGTTGATCTCAAGAGACAGACCTGCGCGTGTTTGTACCGGCAGTTTAGAGCGGGGGAGACCTGCTCCGGCAGCCCAGAGCGGGGTGTGGGGGGAAGGGAGAGACAGTTGAGCTGTCTGTACCTGTAGTTTAGCGCTGGATGGAGTGACAGCCGAGCCGCGCGTTGTTTGTTTTTAGCTTTTTAGCTAGCTAGTATTGCGTGCAACTAATTAGCATTTTGCCAGTACCGACAGGTGGAGGGGGGGTGTGCGCGGTTCGTTTTGGTCGCTCGGCGCGCTCGGTTCTGTTAAGTGGGCGGGGCGCTTGACGTATTACGTCATGAAATTAACATATCATATAATTTTTTTGCCCGGACAATCGTTTTTTTACCAGTATTATCGTGAACAATATGATATGGCCCAGCCCTAGTTACAAGGTCAAAATGCACCTTCAATTTTTCAATATTAGTTTATTGAAAAACATAGTTGAACAATATCCTAGAAACAATACAAACTTGTTTTAACTGGCCATGAGGTGATGCTTGTCATTAAAACTAAAAAAAATATGTAAAATCAGTTTCTCACGCAAGTATCGGCTGATTTCCCAAAATTAAGGAAATCGAGGCTGATAAATCAGCCGGTGCACCCTTAATAATAATGCTGTTTATTAGTCTAGTATTAAAATAATGAACAAACATAATGCAACATTCTTAGACATTTCTGTTCCAATACTATAACAGGTGTAAGGGTAAAATAATGGGTTTCTGGGCATCGTTTATTTAGCGTATGCTGTGTGGTGGTTCATCATTCCAGTGTATTTGTAGTTTAATTGTAGTTTATTTGTCCTGATGCATGCTCAATAATCCAGGTAGAAAAATCTAAAAAAAAAAAGTTGTCATGTTCTCTGGATGTTCAAAAAACAAAAAAAAAGTGTAGAAACGTTTCGCCTTTCATCTTCTAGTTTATTTGGTTTAGTTTTATTTTAGTCTTAGTTTAATATCTGTCAGAAACTGTCACCATTATTGTCAAATAATACACATTTAAAACATGTTCAGATCAGAGTTAGGACAGCTACTGTAAAAAAAGAAGAATAAATAAATGTTTTTTGTAAACAAGTTCTTGGTCTCATCAGCTTGTTAGGCTTCACGTTTCATCCACAGTTGGAATTTGATTTCTTTAGAAGCAGAGATACTTTAAATACAAAGACACATGTTGATTTGAGGATGCTTTGACTTCTTTCATATCAGAGTCAAGAGTTTCTTTATTGTCATTCGCACCTCATGTGGTACATGTGGTGGAGCGAAATTATGTGGTTTTATGTGGTTATATGGTTTTTAACTGAGGTTCTTTGACCCCTACAGGACCCCAATCCACTTCAGTTCTCCTCCGAACAACCCTCCACAGCCAATGCAGAGGTCCTTCTCGTCTCCTGATAGCCTGCAGAAGAACGTCATGGTAACGTCGTTTCTTTAACAGTCACAGCATTATGACAGAACATTACCGTTGCTTTGTTGTTTAAATAAAGAAAAACAAATGTGCAAATTATGCAAACAGACGGACAGACATCCAGCAGCTTGAACTTGGGGACTGTTGATGTATTTGTTCCATCTGCAGATGAGTAACATGATGTGGCAGCTTCAAGTGCAGCAGTTGGAGCAGTTGAATGACGCCTTTTCCAAACCTCTGCAGCGGCAGTTTTCTGCGGGACATTCTGGTCGAGGTCACTCCAGCCATCATCGATATCATCCGTCCCAGATGAACAGAGGCCAGCGCTACGGAGACGAGCAAGGCTGTCCTCGTCAGCAGCACGGCCGCGGGCCAGACGACTACCACCAAAACGACAGGCGCGGCAACCGTCACCATGACAACAAAGGTGGAAACGGAAATTATGACGACAGGGGAAACAACCGTGGTCACCGGGAGTGGAGACGATACTGAGTTCTGTAGGAGCTCGCGTCTTTTTCTCAACTATTTTCTGAGAACTGTTGACCAAGTCATTGTGTACACTCAGGTCATTTATACATGATCTTGTCAATAAGAGGATTTAGTAATTTGTGACTTTTTTTAAAAAAAAAAGGTTTTTAAATTTCAGTACTTTCTTTCTTGTAACTTTGTCAAAACAGATGTTGCAAATGTGTAAAGGTTGTTGTTGGAGCAAAAACATTAGTGAGACCTGTTAGTAAGTTTTGGACGACAGAAAAAAAAAAAAAAAAAGACCAGTTTTCTATGTTATGCAAACAGTAAAATGGTGCTCCCTAACTCTTTTAAAGTTTTCAGGTACTTTGTAAAACAAACAAACAAAAAAAAAGAACAGTATGTTTCACCAGCAACACTGAAATTCAACTGGGCAGCAACTTTTTTTAATTTTTACATGTTACCATGCTCTTACCACAGATAGGCTTTATTTTATTTGATGTTTTTTTTAGTTTTTAACCTCGGGTCTGTAACATGCTGTTTTAAAGTGAACATTATTATAAAGCTCCGTTTTGTTTGATGTCCGTGTTGTCGTCTTATTGTCACTCGTTTGATTCCAGCTGCACTTGTTTGGGACTTGAGAGGTTCTTGATGCAGTAATGCCTGCCCGCTCCTGTAAATGGACCCATGTAATGTATCAGCTTGTGGAGCAGGTCCTGTAATAATCTACAGGTGGCGCCATACAACACCCATTTATTGAATCAATTAGGATGGTAAATATAACTGAGCCTCATGATCAGCTCCTGTCTTTGACCTTTCTCTCTCCGTTCTTTTCTCATGACAACATGCGATTATGTCCGGGTTTCTTTGTTGGCCCGGCCCGGGCTCCTCACAACACCTAACGAATGGCACAGGTTTTAGAATAAGAAGTTGGCTCCAGGCCCACTCCACAATTAGCAGCACTTTGAAACAGAAGGGAGGTGTCCAGCCTCGGTCTTCAGAACAAAGTGATCATCAGATCTCATGTATGATGAGTGGAGGTCATGAGCTGCTCCTCCTGGCAGCAGTGATACTTTCATCCTGAACTAAGTCTCCCGGTGGCTAAAACTAGCTGCAGCCTTTGAACCGAGCTCTGGTTCTTGCCTGAATAATCTGCCCAGTGTCCGGTTCTAACTGGGACCATTGTCAGTTCTGGGTCAGTGTATGAGGAAGGTCCTCGTAGCTCCTGGCCGGAGCAGATCTCTGGTGTCTCGTCTAATTGGTTGATCTGCCTGGCGTCTCCAGCCTGGAGCTGCTGGATTAGAGGGGCCATTCTGGGGCCACTCGGTAGCTGCTCCTGTGTGGACTTGTATAGAAAAGCTCATCTCCTGAAATGATTCAACAGCCAATAACACCCCCTCCCCACAGCCCTGCAGAGCAGACCAAGACAGCAGCCTGACGCTCAATAGTCTGCTGCCTACATGGTGCCTTGGAAAAATTAACACGCCTATTAATAATGTGGTCAGAATATGCACAATTTATTTTAATTGTCCATGTTTATCCGCTTCTTTTTGCGTCGCGGGGGGTCACTGGTGCCTATATCCAGCAGTCACTGTGCAAGAGGTGGGACACCCTGGGCAGGCCTGCAGTCCATCACAGGGACACACAGAGACAAATGAAACAAGCATTCACTCTCACTCACACCTAGGGACAATTTAGAGTTACCAATCAGCCTGACATGAATGTTGGAACATGCACACTCCACCCAGAGAGATCCCCGTCCGGGATTCCATCACCACCCTGCTGAGTTATAGGCCCATAGTTGTGCGAGTTGGAATATTAGGTTTCTGCTTTTACATTATTTTGCAGCATACGTTCTAATTAAAAAAAAAAAAAAAATCTTCACATTATGGGTAATATAGCAATATTCAGCTGCACAATAAACTTTAAATATTAAACTTAATATTTTCAATTTTTTTTATATATATATATACATGCATATATAAATACATATGTATAAATACACACACATATATATATATATATATATATATATATATATATATATATATATATATATATATATATATATATATATATATATATAGTTTTAAACTATTTCACCATATTCTTTATTATGATATATAATAACTTGTTCATAAAACCGGAAGTGTTAAAGTGATCAGTCAGGTGCACATCTTTTCAAATTAAAGCTGATATGTGTTTTAGTGAAGAAGTGCAACAAAGTGCACGTGTGGTGATGTTTGTGTTGCTCCTGTTCAGTCCTACACATCTGAGGAAGATTTCCTTAAACAAACAAATATAAATATAGATATAAATATAGATATAGATATAGATATAGGGGAGTCGGTGGTCAATGTACAGCAGGTCGCGCGCGTGCAGCTGTTTGATGACAATACACTCATCTTCATGCTAATAATAACTGACAAGTTGCGAAGTAACTATTAACTTTTTATTACTTAAAAAAATATATTTAAAAAAAATAGTGTTCTTCGCGGCCTGCGTGTACATTTAAAGCTTTACTTTCGGAGATAAGTTGTAAAATAAAAACGAAAACCTCAAACAAACAACAACAAACAAACAGGTCGAAACATCTAATAAAAGTAAAACAATTAAAATAAACACAGAGAAGCGCCACGGAGTTTATGTCGTGTTAAAAAACAAACGAGCATAAATCTTTTAGTTATAATGTCGACTGTTAATATTCAGGATGGAAAAGTGACATAAACTGCGATTTAATGAATAGATGTGCGCGCGCGCGCGCGCGTGCGGACCTGCAGCGGTGCGGGGGGGTGGGGAGGGACAACACGCTGTGTCTCCAGCATAAAACAAGTCTCACACTGAGCCCGCTCCACCTGCAGCTTCTCCTCCCGCGCCTCCTGCAGCTTCTCCTCCACGTGCAGCGAGCCTTATTTTTCAGTCGGCCGGCGGTGCGCGTGCGGCGCGGAGCGGACAGGGGGGGCAGGCAGCATGCAGTGCGAGGCCGAGCTGAGGCTCTCCTCCCCCGGGCAGCTGCAGGCTGCCAGGCGGCGCTACAAGACCTTCATGATCGATGAGATCCTGTCCAGAGAGACGGTAGATTACTTCGAGAAGCTCTCCCTCTACTCCTCCGTGTGTCCTTCTCTCATCGTGCGACCCAAACCGCTCCACTCGTGCCCGGGTAAGACTTTTAATCACATTCAACACGGACACGCGCTCCGCTCAGAGCAGTCTGATAAATGCAAGTTTATTAGTTTATTATTATGAATCGTTCCAAACTGATTCATTTGTACTAAATCGTTTTTTTTTTTTTGTTTTTTTTTGTTTTTTAATAAAGGTCAGTTTGAATATGTGTTTACTTGTGTTGTGAAAAAAAAAAGTTAGTTTATTTTAAGATCATCCTTTAAAATTTATTATCTTCACATGCAAATTAGAATATTTAGAAGTTATATGAGCATTTGCTGAATTTATTATTGTAGCTGCTGTTTTATAGTTATTATAGCCATTTGCTAAATGTATTATTACACATTTGGATGTCGATTTTTTTTATTTTAAGGATATAAATGTTAAATATTATTGTGTGTGCCTCGGTCCCTGCCTCCTCCTGGAGCCAACTGAGCTTTCAGAGCTGAATAAACCCACGAGTTGGGCCTGGACTCATGGGTCAGGGATGCAGACGAGCACAAGACAAATGAGTGCAGTGATAAGTGGTGTGTGCTTTAAAGTCAGCTAAGAGGCAGGAGGACAGATGAGGAGATTAAAAACAATCTGGAGATCCATTTCAACCCGTCTGTCTGATGAATGTGAGCCGGGTGCTGCAGCCAGCAGCCGCCCCCCCTCTGCAAAGAGTGCTAGCTCTGCTGCTGGACGTGTGCACGTGGAAGAACAGTAGTTGTTACACACCTGGATGGAGTCTCCATGACCTGAAGCAGATGTTAGGAGACGTTCAGGTCACAGGTCACTGAAACTGGAGGAAAAATATTAACAGCTGCACTCAGTTTATATAAGATGAGATAGAACTTTATATTTCGTTACATTTGACTTCACTTGATGCCTTGTAAAATTGTATTTGTTCACCTGTTTCAGATAGACGGGTAAATATTTATGAGTTTATACAAATGGCCTGAGTCCTTTGTAAAATCGAATCTATAAATGTGAGTCCTCTCGCTGCACCCCCAGGAGAACGGCTCTAAAGTTTTCAAATCAAAGCCTCTGCCGTTCGATCGGACAGCGGACTGGAGAAGATTCCCTCATCCTTCTCATATAGATCAGTTGGTGTACGGCCGTTGTGTTTGGGCTTCACCCCACCCCTCTTTTCAGATGGGTAACCCATCGTGCATATCAGAACACCCTGCACACGGTTTATATGGAGTTACGGGGGGTGAGACACTGACTATTTGCCAACATCAATAACTTGATAGAGAACGCCTGCAGCATTTGTACCAAACAGCGAAAGGCCTCTGCATGACCCCCCCAAGCAAACTTGTGCAGCATGGCGGTGCTCTGACGCCCTGCTCGCAGCGCAGGAAACACAGTGATGCTGCAACCAATACAGCCTCATTTTGTTTATCACGTGCAAACCCAGCTAAATGTCTTTAACTGATTCTTCCACGCGCAGCCGAGTTTCTGCTCTTCCCTCAATGAGACGCGACCAAAACCCAAAACTCCAGACCTTTCATGAAACGGATGTGATTAGTGTCAGAGACAACGAGGCCTGACCCGGGGATGAACGGCTTTAGTGTTTCGTTCAGCGGCCCGTCTCTCAGCAGCACCCGGGCCACAGCTCTTAGTGGTGTTTTCTGGAAGAGGTGAGAGAGATTAAGATCAGCTCGGGCGTAATCTCACCTGACAGCCTAACGACAAATGTAGCTAAAGAGCAGGGCGTCCAGCGCTGGTGGAGGGCTGACACACAAACAACGCGAGTTAAGGAGTTTTCACCTCATCTTACAGATTAAAAATCAACAAAACAAACAAATGAACACCCGTTAAGCGTAAAGTTAGGTCTGTGTCGACGCACATGCAAAGACCAAAGGTGCACACGACACGGCGCCCATCATCCTCTGAGAGCCGGTCAGACCCCGTCTCTTAACCAGATGTTGGAGTTTCTGCTGCAGATGTGTGGACCCAACAGGACAACCGAGACGGGACGGTCCGCTGTAAAACAACAAGCACTCGCTTCACGTTGCAGCGCATCAACAAACAGTTGGAGGCGTGTGATGATGGAGAGCAGGTGTAAACATGTGCTGCAGCAGAACAAACAGCTGCTCTCCATCTATTACTGGCAGCCAGGTCTTCTGTAATGGTTACTGGAGGCACTCGCTCCAGTTCCTACATTCCTGCTGTGATTATCAAGAGGATCCATGTACGTTTGCCGGCGGGGGGGTCGGAGTTGTGTTCCTCCAGCTACTCAAACAGTTTATTTGTAGCCTATTGACAGGACACTGGTACTTGTCAACAACATGTCAGGGAGCTGGCTTCGCTGTCAGTGGAAAGTCACCACGAGGGCTGACATTTCCCTCTTTGCTCTCCCGTGTCCCTTCTTTCTCCCTGCACATTCCCTCTGGGGGTGGGGGGGGGGGGTGTCCAGAGACCCTCCTGCCTCCCCTCAAAGTTCTTCTGATAGGACAGTTCCTGCAAGTAGTGAGGACTAACCGCCTCACGGAAAAGGTTAATGATGTGCAGTCCATCACATTCAGCCCAAAATGAAACTGGACAATTCTTTGATTTGATTCAGACAGAAGGACTAACAATGCAAACAGGACAAGAGGACAGGAGGACAAGAGGACAGGAAGCAACAAGGAGGGAAAAGGAGCTTCTTGTTTGGACTTGTTGCAAAGCAGCAATCTAACATGGGGGGAGGGAGGTATTAGCAATGACCTCAGTGCCTTAAAATGATGTCATGATGAGCTGCAGGCAGTATGTGTGTGTGTGTGTGTGCGTGTGTGTGTGCGTGTGTGTGTGCGTGTGTGTGTGTGCGTGTGTGCGTGTGTGTGTGCAGCTGATCTGATATTTGTGCACATTTTATTTGAACTCTTTGTTTCACCTTTAGCTGTCGCAGCTCATTTTAAGGAAAAACACTTGTTTGTTCAAACTGTTGGACGTGAGGATCTGTGGAACACTTAGTTATTATCTGAATAAAAAAATAAAAAAATAAAAATAAACTCTCCATTTGGAGAAATTCAGCAGATTTCTGAGCGGACCGAGGAGCTAACAGCTGCTCCAAGCAGGACTGGGACCAGAGGAGATTGTTGCCGGCTTAAACGTTGTACGTTAAACAAATGTTATCACAGTTTGTTCGCAGCCGGCTCCCAGTTTAATCTTTTATCATTCCCTCATTCATGAAGATCTGCTGTGGTTTCTGGCAAATTACAGTTTTTTAATTGATGTTAGGAAGATTTTTCTGGCAGATATTGTGACTGGTTGACCCACAGTGTCCTCTCTGATAACCTCCAGACCTCCGCTCCTCGAGCTTTGGCTCCAAGTGCTACTTTTTATTGATTCTTGCGTCTGCAGCTTCGGTTAAAGAGCCGATGTGTTCGTGTTCATCTGTGTGGTGCTTTGTGCCGAGCTGAGGAGAACCTGAGGGACCAGAAAACATGGCAACCAAAAAAAACAAAAAAAAGGGTTTTATTGATAGATATTTGACCATAGATTACACTGCGTGTGTGTGTCTTTGTTCAATTTATACATTGTGAGGACCAACTGCTCCTTATGAGGTCCAAAGCCTGGGCCCCATAAGAAGAAGTGCTGTTGGTGGGTTAGGGTCAGATTTAGGATTAGGTATGTACTGGTAATGGTTAGGGTTAGGGTTAGGTATGTACTGGTAATGGTAATGGTTAGGGTTGGGCTATGGAAATGAATGAAAAATGAATGGAAGTCAATGCAAAGTCCTTGTAAAGATAGAACGACAAACGTGTGTGTTTGTGTGTGTGTTCTGTTTAACAGCCATTGAACAATCATCTTTCATGTCAAAGGTTTAGGGGATCAGAGTAAAACACAGCGTGCGTCATGCAGGTCACTGTCTTGTACATGGAGGGGGTCAGAGCCAAAACACTTTTCTCAGCAGCTCAGTTCAAACTACCTCCCCCCTTCATTACACCCCCCCGTCCATTAACACAAGCGGTGGGTAAAGGTACAGCCGAGGTGAACTCAGTTTAGTCACACAGAGGGTTAATTTATGAAACGCCTTGTTGTTTGTTTTTTCCAGGCTCGTCATCCCTGCGGGCCTACCCCCTCCTCTCAGTCATCACAAGGCAGCCCCACCTGCCGCAGCCGTCCTCCCCGCTCCAGGTCCACTCGCACCTGCCCCTGATCTCCCCGCAGCCCCTGCGAGGCTCCGAGGCCTCGCCCAGCCAGACTCCGCTCAGCATCAGCAGCGAGTCGGAGACGGAGCGCAGCACGCCGCGCCTGAAGAAGCCGCGACGCAGCCGCACCATCTTCACCGAGCTGCAGCTCATGGGCCTGGAGAAGAAGTTCCAGAAGCAGAAGTACCTGTCCACGCCTGACAGGTGAGTCACTCCAAACTCTCGTCAGTTCAGGAGGTCAACGAGCAGCAGAGGAAATAATGACGTTGAAAGGACATCTATCAAAGATGGACTAATTAACACACCAAACACAGACGTTTAAAAGCAAAACGATCAGATAAGATTTTGTGGCCACAGGAAAAAAAATAAAAAATCCACCAACTCCAACCAAAAATAATTTGGAGTAATAAACATTAATGAAATAATCTGGATGTAGCAGCTACCAGAGCGCTGAAAGTGTTAATCAAAGGGAACATTTTAACAACCTGTGTTATAACTGGCAAAGAGCACATGACACACACACAGGCTCAAGGACATCCACTACGATGTGAACTCCTGTATCGAGGAGGGGTGGGGGGTTAACCCAACATCATCATTTCTGGTTCATTTTTAATCTCTCCCGTGGGGATGTGTCATTTAGTGTGAAGCCATGAAACCAGAACATTACCTCAGCTCTTCTAGTTCAGACAGGACGAACGTTTTCTTCAAACAGCTGAAAGGCTCCAACAAAAAAAAAAAAAAAAAACGCTTCCTTCTTCAGGAAAACAGGGATGGGGGCCAACGCAAGCAAACATGAATGTCAAACACTGATTTACTGCCAATCATTTCCCTCAGCTGCAGGTGGACAGAAAGGGACAATGTACAATAAGATGATGTCACCTGAATCTTTATGTCTGCTTTAAATCCATAGTGTGGCTTGGTTCTGGACCCGTCATGACGTTCTATTTTCCACCTCTCCTTTTATATTATGCCTGCAGGATACTTTTCCATTTTTACAGAGAATGGTATTGAATCATAAATATAGAACAGGCCTGTCACGATAACACATGCGATTAATCGTCTCAGAAATTATTGCGATAAACGATAATATTTTTTGAAATTTGACAATAATTAGTCATTATTGCCAAATTTAAGAAGAAATGTTGGTTAATTTGTTTTGCATGTAGTATCTTTTTTCAACCACCGGATGGCAAGATAAGACTGTTTGAACTGAAGGATGGATAGTGAGGGAGCGAGCTGCGTGTCTCTTTAAGAAAAATGGGAGGGAGGCCCCTTGACGTGACACGGGCTGTCTCGCTTTGATTCTCAAAATGGCGGCCGCTCTGTGTGGTTTGAGCTCTTTAGCATAGCATTTTTCACACAAAGATTTTAATTTAAAGAATCAGTAAACAAGTTCTCAGCTTCTTTTTTCAAAGAAAAACAACTTTTTACACGAAGGCACGGGTTTCAACCGTGAATTTTGGAGCTTTGACAAGACAGAGGTTTTTCCCGAGGTTAGCCTGTTAGCTTAGCTCCTAGCTTAGCTTCTCAGCTTAGCTGCTTTTAACGATCCAAAAACATGATTTTGGATCGTTAAAACAGATTTTAAAGAGAAAAGAGAAAGGGAGAAGTGAGTGAAGAGCACCGGAGTTGAACCTTTTGTCATCCAGTGTCTTCAGTAGAAAGAGAGAGACATGACGAAACGATAAAGCCGATAAACATTTTCATTTATCATGCAATTAATTGATTTATTGTTTATCGCGACAGGCCTAATATAGAAATCTTACTTTCTCTTTTACAGCACAAGCTTTAAACTTGTTAAGTTTCATCTATCATCTTTTTAACTTGTTAATGTGGTGGTATACCACTTCCACTCTGAGAAGCCTGTGCACATGTTTGGAATCCACCAGATTTGTTTGTTACTCCATTTACTTCCTATTCGTGGGTTCAAAACTCCCACAATGCATTATTAAGTATATCACCTCTTGGCTCGCCCGTAGCTGCTTGGATAGTCGCCATGTGTCATCTTAAAGCAGGAGCCTGGAGGCAGAGCGCCATTCAGTGATCAAAACCAACCATCCGTTTGCATAGCTGCTGCGTCCTGTCAAAATATCTGATTCCGACACCGCAGTGGAAATTAATTAAACATCCTTCTGGAGTTTAAAAAAAAACATCAACAGAGAAAATCCCCTTCTAAACCCCACTTCAAAGGTGAGGCGTGCTCCCTGCTCAGGTTTGTTGTGATCTGAAGATAACTTCACGCTTCTTCTTCTCCTTTCTTTTGACTGCGAGTCTCTGCACTTCTCAACAGGAGTGTGTGTGTGTGAGGGCCAATGTAACATAAACCCAAAAATACTCAGAAAGACACATAATCGTTTATGTCACCATGGCGCTAATGGTTTTACGGTAATAACTAGTATCGTCCTCATCAACAGCATCAGTGAAGATTATTCAGTAAAGCAGAAGATCGTCTGCTGAAAAGTGTGGGAAGAGAAGAGAATGGCAGCTTTGAAGAGCCTGCAGGGCGTTACTCAAGAAGTGTTTCGGCTCTTCAAAGCGTGCGGTTTCCCCCCATTGATAGCTGATGAGCGTAAAGAAAAAGGGGTTTTCTTCTTGGGTGAAATGACTTTTCTTTGCCTCCAGTTGTTGCACTGATGGGTGCTCACATGGACAGCTAGGTGTTTTAGCAACATGTTTATGCACAAACACACACATTCCTGTGAAGAACAAATCTTTATATTTAATGGGAACAAAAGAGCTTCACATGTTTCAGCCCTGTTACTTTGCTCTTTAGAGCAGAGGTTCTCAAACTTGTTGGGTTCAGGGACCCCTTACAGGGGAGAAAAAGTTTCAGGGACCCCCTGATAACCCTCATGTTTATTAAATCATTTTCTTCAATTTGTCTCTTTAATGCAGTGGAAATATTTGTGTAACATAAATACTTAAGGCCACTTCTTCAAATTACAGTAGTCCCTCGTTTATCGCGGGTGTTTGGGACCACACTAGTAGTCCAAGTTCAAGTTCAGTTCAAGTTCTGTAAACTTTGTCATGACATGTGCCAGGCTGTAATCCCACTCATCCCGTTACTCCTAATCTCCCTCCTTAAATAAACAATTCAAATTTAAATACTGTAACGTTTTAAATAAATAATCCATGCAGCATGGATTATTTATTTAAAATGTTACAGTATTTAAACTTAAATTGTAGAGAAGAGAAGAGAAGTGCAGCAGGACATCAAAGGGATGTCACGCAGCTTCAGCTCTGCAGCACGGAGCAGTTCTTGATCAATGACACTTCAACTACTGAACATAGAAGTTCTAAAATAATTAAAAAACAACTTTTAACACTTATATTTTGTGATTATGGGGATTTTTACAATGTGACATTTTGAATTTTAAGTTGAAGACAAAAGTTGATCGGTGCATCTGGACAGTGAAGGGTTAACCCTTCACAAACCACAGCAGGAGAAATGTGTGTGTGGCAGAGGAGGAAATCAGCTGATTGGCTGCAGGAGGGATGTTTCCTTTCCACTCGTGGGCTTCACACATGGTGCAAAATCATTTAAAATTATTTATTTTAAATAAACAACCCATTGCTCATCCATCAGCCAATTTTGTCATGTCCAATCTTATTTTGAAAATCCGCGATATAGCGAACCAGCGAACGGCGGAGTAGCGAGGGACTCCTGTGCTTGCATTACCACTTCTTTAAATTATTACAGACAACTATTTACATAAAACTGAACAGAATCATCACAGCAGTAGTCATACCAAGTAACGGCTTCATTTGTAAACTGATCGATGCTAGAATGCGAATAGCGTGTGGGCCCTGGGGAGGAGGGGGCAGTCTGGGGGTCATCCCCCAGAAAATTTTGAATAAAGTAAATATGATTTCCTGCATTTTGGTGTATTTTAACGGGTTGTTAAACATCTACGTACTTTTAAAAAATTGTAAATTAAAAAAATAAAAAATTTGGACCTCCAAGCACCGGCTCGCGGACCCCTGGGGGTCCAGGGACCCAAGTTTGAGAACCACTGCTTTAGAGTTGTTCACAACTCGCATCCATTTTCAGCCATAAAATGAACATTGTCTAGTTTCCCCAGGAGTTGACAGAAACTTTTATTTAAAGAACTTTTTGCAGAGCAGAAGAGAAATCCCACTTAATCAACAAGCTGTTCTGTCCCATGCACATGGACTCCCTGTTAAGTTGAGGTGTCTCTTCCTGCAGGTTTTGTGTTACACACCAGTCGATAGCCCAATTAGTCACGGGCCGCCACATGTGCTGGATACGTTCACGACAGCCCCAATCATCCAGCTTAAAGCATTCTGGTGGGATTACTGTCTGCGCCGCACACATTTCAAACACATCATTTTAGCTGTGGGCACCACACTCAAATGAAAGTGCAAGTTTTTGGACATCTACCTCAGATTAATGCAACCGTTTTAAATTGAGCCAAAGTGCAACAAAACTAAACAACCCAAGTAGTTCCTGGATCCACACGTGGGGTACACTGAACTTTTCTTAGAGAAATGGATATTTTGCTGATGTTTTTGTGTTTGATGTACTGGAGATGATCCAGTCCTGTGTTTTATCCACGTTTAATGTTGAAACATGTGAGTGATGTGTGTGTGTGTGTGTGGTCCCGCAGGTTAGATCTGGCTCAGTCTCTTGGACTCACACAGCTCCAGGTGAAGACGTGGTACCAAAACAGACGCATGAAATGGAAAAAAATGGTAAGCTGGAACTTGTTCAAGAGCAATATCGTTTAAAATGCATTTGTGTTTTATTAGTTCGGATGAGTCAAACTCAGTAAGGTGACTTTTACTGAACTGACAAATCACTGAAGAAGAAGAACATTTTCAAATAGGTTTGTGTAGTTCATGGCTGAACATCAGGGGCACTCAGGAAAAATAAATAAAACAAGAACATGTTTAGTTAGTCCTCAGATTTGAGATTAAAGTCAAAATGTTGAGAATTAGGTAAACATTGGAAATAGTATTTCAAGGATTAAAGCAAAATGACATGAATCGATCTGTCTGTTCTCAGTTAAACAGGATTCAAAATCAAAGTAGCTCTGATACAAAGAACACTCACAAGCTTTGTGTGAAATGAATCGTTCTTTTTTCAGCTCATAAACACACAATGTAATATTTATAAATTATACGTTAAATAAATTGATCTGGAGCTTCTATTCAGTTTTACCAAAGAAAAACACTGGTAAAATAAAAAAAAAGTTCAAACATATAATGTTTGACTTTATTATTTCAACTTCACTGTAGAAAAAAAATAAATAAATAACCTTTTTTTGTGAACATTTTGGACTTTAAGAGCATTGCTACAAGTTTAACGTCTGGTA